AGGTCACCAGGTCACTTGAAGTGACCTCACCTCATAAAAAGTTTCAATGTCTGTCGTAGCTACACCGAGTGACTGATCGCTTTGAAACGTTCAGCGATTGCTAAGAGGAATAGCATGTACATAATGTATATCTCAGAATTTTGATATCGATGACCTAAGGTCAGGTCAATTTTGCGGCCTCCCCATTATAAGTCAATTGGAGAAAATTGAAATGCGCCTCTTTTGGACGAAAGCCATTATAAACACTCCCAAACACTGAATTACAAGTGGTTTAGACACACTGAACATGAAAATGGTGTCCGTGATTCCTGTTTATGCCCTGAGGTCATCTTAGGTCACGAATGGTATCTAACAGTTTTTCGCAAATAACTTTTGATAGAGGCATGCTAGAGCGATGAAAACGCCTTAGATGTGTTCAGCTCGACGATACGGATCGACTGATATGCAACTTGACCCTTTCCGGTCAGGTCATGACCTTGACCTGAGGTCAAATTTTCAAGTTGACCTTTCAAGGTCAAGTTATAGTTCATTCGATGCGTCTTGACGAGAGGAACACGATGCCGGTAAAAGTAAGCTCGTACAAGGCTTTGGTCAAAAGTTATTGCAGAAAAACTGTTTCCGAAAAAATCGGCTATTTTTGCAGTTTTTGCCCCCTGCAGGCAAAACCGTTGACATATGGTCAAGTTTGAGAAAATGTCTCAGAAAGGGCGTTAATAGGGCTATCGAATGCGCTTTTCCGCGGCTCTGTAGCTCTATTGGTTCCCGAGTTATGCGTTGGCTTCTTGGAAATTGTCGACATTCGACCTGGAAATCGGCGAAATTTTGCCTTCAATGACCTCTGGTGACCTGACCTTTGACCTGACCAAAAAATTGACCGAAGTGATTTCCTCATTATTTTTGACGCTCTTTCGAACGCCGCCTTCCGCGTATCGCTACGTGGCCCAGGAGCCGAGTTAGAAGGGGGGGGTGTTCAAACACCCCCCCCCCCCCAGCAGGGCGTGGAAATCCAGGACCCCCAGCCGGGCGCGGGTTAAGTTTACTTAAAAATTAATAAAAACTTTAAGTACACTTAAGCAAACGAAAAAAGTATATCATTCGACGCGCCTTGACGTGCTGAGTTCACTGGTGCTTTTCTTTTTCTCTATCTTAACCCGCGCACCGACGGGGGTCTGCGCCAACTTCGTACCGACGGGGGGGCGGATGACCGCCCCCCCCCCCTGAGATCTCGAGAACGAAGCAAGATAGCGACAAGCGGTAAACGGCATCGGATACGCACGGTCAAGATCTACAATTTTTAAAAGGTCATTTTCAGGTCAGGTCAAAGATGACGTCACAGGGGTCGAAAAAGTCAAAATGGCGGCGCTAGATATGGAGAGAGTTTTTCTCGAATAACTTTCGAATTAATCAAGATAGGAACAAACTAAGGGAAGCATCGTGATCCTCTCGTCAATCCGCATCGAATGATATATATGTTGACCTCGAAAGGTCAAGGTCAAGGGTTGACCTCAGGTCACGTGACCTCGAGGTCATCATATATATCATTCGATGCGTCTTGACGAGCTGAACACAATGAGACCATCCACGCGTCTGTATCTTGTTCCTGTACGGAGTTATTGGCCAAAAACCTTTGGTGACCTTTGATGACGTCACATGACCTCACAGCTGCCCAACAGCAAAACAGACCTCAAGGTAGTGAAGGTTGATCGTATATGAAGTCATGTATGGTATATGGGGCCATTCCGATCCGTTTTAGTGGTAAAAACAGGCAGTTGATTTTTCCCCCATTGACTTATAATGGGGAGGTCGCGAAATTGACCTGACCTTAGGTCACCGATATCAAAATTCCGAGATATAAAAATTGTAGCTACTAATGACCTAATAACATCCTGCAACTTTCAAAGGCCTCCGACATCTACTGTAGCTCTGGCACGGTGACAAAGTTGCAAAAAAGTGACTTGAGGTTGGGTCATTCAAAGTGACCTGGTGACCTGACCTTGAAAGGTAGGAGGTTCAAACTTGCACACCATGTGTAAAATTGATGAGGGAATAGTCATACTAAATTTCGCGGCGCTACGCGCCGCGGTTTTCCCGCTATTCGCGAAAAACCTCAGGGGGGGGGGATATCCGCCCCCCCCCCGTCGGTGCGCGGGTTAAGTAGATCAAAAGTTATAAGCGAAAAACTTTTGACCTGTTTTTAGCGAAATTTTTACATTTATACCCCCCAAATCCCCCTAAATATTGACCTAGAGCAACCAAATTTGCACAGGGGCGAGAACTACAGGGGGCCCACATACCTACCAAATTTGGTGTTTCTAGGTGCCATAGGAGCCAATCGCGAGGAGGGGGGGTCGCATCGACCCCCCCCCCCCTGCCAGGCCGTGATATGAAAAATGTCCTGCCAGGGCGAGGGTTAATTAGTACACTTATACTTCCTAACAAGTTATCGATCCTTGTGGGGCTGCAAATACCGAGCTGCGATTCTGGGAAAAAAGAAGCCAGGTAGAAATGATTTGGATACAATTGATTAGTGATGTCAATCGGATACCAACTTTTTGGTATACCGATACCAAACCGATACCAAGTTGGTATTTGGTATTTCAATCCGATTGTTTTTGGTATTTTGTTGGTATTATGAACCCTTGCTAATGTATACAAGGTTGAAAAATCGGTGAAAAGTTGGTATTTTCCTCATGTTCTCAAGTTGGTTCGGTTTCGTTATTTCCTGATGGTTTTGGTTGGTATTTGGTTTGGTTACGAGCGAGCGAGCGCAGCGAGCGAAGTGAGTCTTTTCAATATAACGGAAAAATCTCAGTATGAGCGGCCCGGCCCGGCCCGGCCTGTAACGCTTTTGAGAGGCTTATATCTCAGCAACCGCTGGACCGATTGGCCTGCGTTTTTTTTTTTTTTTGTTGGGTAGCCCCATCCCTTCTACCCCGTAATTGACTACTTTTGATACATTTCAGTGATCGTCGTGGCACGTGCCACGTGAAAAGTCAAGGGTGTTCACTGTTCAAGCTGTTTTGCAAAAGTAGTGATTTTGAGAGGCTCATATCTCAGCAGCCGCTTGGGCGATTGACTTGCGGCAATTTTTGTAGTGTAGCAGCATCCCTTCTACCCAAAATAGGATACACTCGATGCGTGTGGGTCACCCCCAGTGCACGTGTAAAATACAACAATAAGAGGTGCCAAATTTATTCCCATATCAGTAACTCGGTTATTACTGGGGCGATTTCGCTAAAACTTGGCATACAGGTAGGCACCCACCAGGCAATGCATTCCCATGTGTTGCGGTTAGGGTGCTACTGCACGTGCGCACGTGCAGGGGACGTTTCCAGATCTCGAGAACGGCTGGGCCGATTGCGCTCAAATTTGGTACACGGTTGGGGACCAGTTAGTAAGGTGCCGTGCAAAAGTCATTTTGGACCCCGTTTGCACGTGCGCACGTGCAGAATGCCGCTTCCAGATCTCAGGAACGGCTGGGCCGATTGCGTTCAAATTTGGCACACCGCTAGCGACCGGTTAGAAGGGTGCTTTGCGCAAGCCCGTTGGAAGCACCCTCTCGCCCTTCTGCACATGCAGGGCTCACTATCTCGCTCGCTCGTTCTTCGCCCAAAAGGCGTTTTACTGGTATCGGTATTCCGATTTTCTGTAATTGACATCACTACAATTGATCGTCTGCGAAATCATTGTGCGCCAACGAGTTTTCTCAGTAATTCAACTACCAATTCTCGTGCTGTGTTCAAAGGGACGTTTACAGTGAGGGTCGAACTTAGAAAAAAAACGAACTATAGCAAGATATCTTTATAACTAGCCAAGTTATGCGCATTACATAACAAAAAATTCACAATTATAATTTTTTTCTCAAATCAATTGTTCAGTACGTATGTGACATCGTACACCAGTATAAAAAGCACCATCGTGTTCCTGAGCTCCTACTGCATCCGATCGACGACACCTTTTTTCCTGACACGACACGATCCTGAAAAATTAACCGTGCACATTACTATGTAGAGTTTATGTACCGACATCGTTCGGTAGCATTAATTAACCGTGCACATTACTATGTAGAGTTCATGTACCGACAGCGTTCGGTAACATCTGTCTCAACTGCTGTGTTCCAGACTCACCGCAGTGTGACCACTACGGAGAGGTCGAAGACGAGGAGCAGCAATGCAGTGAGGAGGAGCAGCCATCAGAGGGTCTGCCTCACCCATATCGGCTGAAGAGACAACATCAACATCAGCTAAGGAAGGAGCTGGAACACCCAGGTCAAGGAGAAAAAGTGAGGCTGCACAAGAAAAAGTACGAAGAGGAGCGTCGGCATCTGGAGCGGGAATACGACGAGAAGTATCAGATCCTGCTGGCGCGTCACGAATCGGAGCGCGAACACCTCCTTCTGAAGCACGAGACACTGAAGGAGCAGGAGAAGGAGTTGGAAAGGCAGCAAAGGGAGGAGCTGAAGGATGAGTTAAGAGAAGAGCTGAGGGAAGAGCTGGGGAAGGAACTGAAGAACGAGGTAGAAAAGGAGCTACGTAACCAGCTAACGGAGGAGCTAAGAGAGGAGCTGAAAAATGTACTGCGGAAGGAGCTTCAGCAACAGCAGCGCCCTGAGGGAGGTGAGTGACAGCCTCCGTTGTCAGATGAGACTTTAGCACTGATTCACAGATAATGGTTGCCTCCATCTCAAGTAGGTTACCCTGAGCATGAAATAACTGTCCTTGCCTCTTCCCCCGACCAGCCCTGACTGTTGCTGGACCCATCTGACATGTCTTGACTTGTGACCAAACCTCACTGACCTAGATGCCTGACCCGGCGTGTTGCAGACCGGCCGCCGAGGGCCGTCGGAGGCGAGGCCAGTGGCGATCAGCGGCCCGGCTCCGACCTCCGTCCCACCCCTCGGACGGAGGCGTGTCCGGCCCGTCCGGCCGGCAAGAGGCGGCACCAGGAGCCGCCGCCGGCAGCGGACGACGGCCAGCCGCCGGACGCCAAGCGGGCTCGTCCGGACGTGTCTGAGAGCCGGCAGTGACGGGGCCGAGGCGGCGAGCCGATGTGTCGGCCAGCTGAGCGGCGCCATGGACACTGACCGCCCCGTGAGTATAGGCTCTGAAACATACGGTATACGGTAAATGACGTGCTATTAGTTGGTCAGTCACTGAGCGGCGCCATGGACACTGAACGCCCCGTGAGTATAGGATCTGAAACAAACGGTATGCGGTAAATGACGTGTTATTTGTTGGTCAGTCACTGAGCGGCGCCATGGACACTGACCGCCCCGTGAGTATAGGCTCTGAAACAAACGGTATACGGTAAATGACGTGTTATTAGTTGGTCAGTCACTGAGCGGCGCCATGGACACTGACCGCCCCGTGAGTATAGGCTCTGTAACAAACGGTATGCGGTAAATGACGTGTTATTAGTTGGTCAGTCACAGTGGCGGGCAGAGCGATACTGAATGGCCGGTCCGGACCTGGCTGTTTACTCGGTCGGACCAACAGTTCGGGTGTGGGAGTGACGTCACACCACTGTCAGACCCGGTGTGGGATAGCGGTAGCGACACGGCGGGTGTGGGAGTGACGTCACACCACTGTCAGACCCGGTGTGGGATAGCGGTAGCGACACGGCGGGTGTGGGAGTGACGTCACACCACTGTCAGACCCGGTGTGGGATAGCGGTAGCGACACGGCGGGTGTGGGAGTGACGTCACACCACTGTCAGACCCGGTGTGGGATAGCGGTAGCGACACGGCGGGTGTGGCTGTCAATATCAGGGGACCTAAAACTGGACACTGGTGTTTCAGATCACCACAGACGTCACCATCACCAGCAGTGACAGCACCACCGGCACCACCGGCAGGCGTGAGTACACCAACGGCAGTCGGGTCCAGCTTCACGGCTCCCGAAACCACTATCAAGTGAACTGCCATTGACTTAGAGTTACCGGAAATGATAACACAGCTATCATACTTTATAAGACAATTAATGATGTTATTTTTACAATTTGTCTGCTAACTCAAAATATTTGTGGTTGTGATTTTGCTTCTTTAGCGCTGTATCTAAGATATAAACATCACAGACGACATAATAACTAGCGCCTTGTATTTCAGCTCCGCCATCATCACCGTCCCCAGCATGACCATCATCATGACCATCACCAGCACCAGCACCACCGGCTCCGGGATCAAACCCGTCACCAGCATGTCCGTAAGTGTCGAATCATAAAATGGCAATGAACATGTAAAACTCAAAACCTTTTTCCAATCGTCACAGTTTTGAACAAATTCCTCAGTTTGTCTTACTTCTTGTTCTTACTGCGCATAATACGCTGATCTAAAAACCTACTGACTGCTTTCAGATCATCTATCATCACCATCACCAGCCATCACCAGCACCACCACCAGCACCACCGGCTCCGAAACCCAGTCCATCACCAGCCTCCGTGAGTACAGACGCGATAACCGGGCACTGTTGCCTCTTGCTTGTCTCTGGGAAACTCAAACATTTGGCGATGCTGAATGATGCAGAAACTATAAACAAACTAAAAATGAAAATAAGAATAAAAGCAGTGAAATATTTATTTTTTCATTATCTTCGTTAGGTACATTTATATTTATTCGGTCTAGCAAACTGTCAGTTCCCACTCGTCTTTGATCTAATCAATAAATAGTCATTTACTTGGCATGAAAAACACCATGAACGTATTTTTCAGTTATATATTTCACGGTATTGCTATATGTGATCGATACTTTTTGTAATGACTGTACTTGTCCGAACATTTGTGTTCATTTTGCCGTAGACATTGCTACCGCTCTGTCTGTATGATAAGGTGATCGTTTCGTCTGTCATATATAATGATTTAATCGTTCATATTGTTTCAGGTCCGCCATCACCACCATCACCAGCACCATCACCATCACCGCCACCAGCACCACCGGCTTCGGGATCAAGTCCTCCACCAGCCTCCGTGTGTGTGTAATCATTGAATGCATCCTGAAACGTAAAACTTGTTCTTTCCGCAATGTTACATAGGATTTGTGGTCAATATTTTTTGCATAATCAGATCGATAGGAATAATATCATTATACAACAATAATAACGGATTCTGTCAGCATTTTTCTGACCGTAGGGCTGGTTGAGAGGTGAATCCACTGTATTTTATAGGAGTTCTTTCGGTTTGCGGTCAATTTGTACTATCTCCCTTTTAGACCATCAGCCAGCACCGCCACCAGCACCACCGGCCTCAGCACCAAGCCCGCCACCACCAGCACCACCGGCCTCAGCACCAAGCCCGCCACCACCAGCACCACCGGCCTCAGCACCAAGCCCGCCACCACCAGCACCATTGGCCTCAGCACAGCACCAAGCCCGCCACCAGCGTCCGTGAGTGTCTTATTAGCAATTGACCATAAAAACTATATTTTTTATTTTAGTCGTAAGTTCGAGACACACTGATATTATATTTTTCATCACCAAATTTATATCGATAGGCTATATATTTTATTGTAACAAATATTACATCAGGAATGCAGTGCTAATGAGCGAATGATGTGTTAATAATAAAAGTGGCGCAATAATTTTCTTACAGTGAATAACAATTGGAGCTCAACATGTGCTGATTCTTTTTCAGGTCATCTACCATCACCACCACCAGCACCACCGGCCTCAGCACCAGGCCCGCCACCAGCCTCCGTGAGTACAGACGGGATATCGGCGAGAACACTGTCTTCTGTACCGCACGACTCAGTAGTTTGATATTTAGCCAACAGATGGCTCTAGCATACAGCGCCTGAAGCATGCTGTACCGCACGACTCAGTAGTTTCAGTGTTAGCCAACAGATGGCTCTGTCATACAGCACCTGAAGACTGCTGCGCCGCAGGTCTCAGTAGTTTCTTATGTCGCCAACAGATGGCTCTGGCATACAGCACCTGAAGAGTGTTGTACCGCAGGTCTCAGTAGTTTCTTATGTCGGCAACAGATGGCTCTGGCATACAGCACCTGAAGAGTGCTGCGCCGCAGGTCTCAGTAAATACATAGGGAAGACCACCACCGGCCTCTGAGAGCTCGGACACGATGTCATTGGCGCACTGTCGTCCGTGGCTAGTTTCTAGCAAAGGAACGCTTGACGTTGATAATTGATACACAGACAAAACAAATGGAATAATTTATTTCGTCATTGTCATGGATACACTTATTACGGAGCGAGCGAAGCGAGCGTAGTCTTTCCTTAGATTAACCCGCGCCCCACTGGGGTCTGTGTATAACACGCCCTACTGGGGGGGGGGGGGCTATTCATAGCCCCCCCTCCTAACTCCGAAACTACTGGGCCGATCGTCAAAATTCAAACGGCGTCTGATAGCCCCGGAAAAACTGTCGAGCGAAACCTAATTTCATTGACCTCGAGGTCATCGATGACGTCACAGGTCAGGTCAAAGTAAAAATTATTAGCACTTTGGCTTGTTCACATTTTGGGCTCTGGCCGCCGTCTTACAAGTCAGATCAGGCTCATTTTTGGTTTCCACACTCGTGAACAGATGCTCTAGATACCTTGAGGGTACCAAACTTGTACTTTGATTTTCAGGTCAGGGTCAGGTCATCACAGGTCACGAAAATATTATATCATGCGTCGGTCACGTGACACATGTTTTATGGTCCATTTAGGCCATAGATTTCGAATTTGATGTCGTCTGTGTCATTCAAGGTCATTTGGAGTCGAAATTAGCTTAGGTCAGGTCACTTTCAGGTCAAAAAAGGTCAAATTTTGAAGTTGAAATTTTTCAACAAAAAAGGTGTCTATGGGATGCAGTTTGAGCTCAGGAACACGATGGTGGCATTTATATTGGTGTACGATGCCAAATACGTACTGAAAAATTGATTTGAAAAATTAATAATTGTGAATTTTTTGCAATAATGCGTATAACTTGGCCATTTTTGAAGATATTTAGCTAAAACTTGCTAGAGTTAGTCATAATCATGCGTTCTGTCACATATATTCCGTTTTTTTTCGAAAAGTCAAAAACTTTTTGAAAAAAATATAAAAATATAAATTTTGAATATTATTATATAAATTTTCGAAATTTTCAAACTTTTGAAAATCCGAGATAGCAGTTTGATAGCGCGGTCAATTCTGAGCTCTTTCATGCAAAGAAATTGGATCTAGCTTAAAAACTGAGCTCTTGGGAGCGATTGCCGTGGTTCAATGTTTTGCGTCGAAATCGGCCGAACATGACGTCACTCTGACGTCATTTCCGGCCGACCTATGGTAGCTACGAAGTTCAAATTTTGACACAAGGTGTCAAATTGATGCAGCCGAAGGTACTGAAAGTTTGGCGTCGATTCGTCAAGCGGTTTGGAAGTTATTGCAGAAAAACGGGAGGGGGGCTATAAATAGCCCCCCCCCCCCAGTGGGGCGCGGGTTAACGGAAATTTCTGAGTATGAGCGGCCGGCCGGCCGGCCGGCCGTGGTCACGCTTTTGCGAGGCTTATATCTCAGCAACCACTTGACCGATTTACGCGCGGTAATTTTTGTAGGGTAGCTTCATTCCTTCTACCAAGTATTGGACTATTCCCGATGCATGTGGGTGACCCCTTATGCACGTGCCACGTGCAAAACGAAGAGGTGTCAGTTTTGTAATTGTTGCAATATCTCGGTAACTACTTGGCCGATTGTGCTGAAAGTTGGCATGTAGGTAGGCACCCACTAGGCACTGCATATACATGTGCCAGAGTTGGGGTGCTACTGCACGTGCGCACGTGCAGGGGTCGTTTCCAGGTCTCGGGAACGGCTGGACCGATTGCGCTCAAAGTTGGTACACGGTTAGGGACCGGTTAGTAGGGTGCCGTGCACAAGTCAGTTGGGACCCATTTTGCACGTGCGCACGTGCAGGGTGCCGCTTCCAGATCTCGAGAACGGCTGGGCCGATTGTGCTCAAATTTGGCACATCGCTAGAGACCGGTTAGTAAGGTGCCGTGCACAAGTCAGTTGGAGGTACCCCCTCGCAATTTCGCACGTGCAAGGCCCACCCTCTCGCTCGCTCCGTTAGTCGCCACAAAAGGCGTTATACTGGTTTAGATTCGCTATACAAAATTGTCAGTTGTGACTCTTCTTTGCTGTGTCCAATAGCCATCTAGCTGTGTGAAATGCACCATGAACTTGTTTTTTAGTTGCAGATTTCACGGTTTCGTTATATGTTATCGAAACTTTTTGTATTGTAGTGTCAGACTAATTTTGTTCATTTTACCGTAGACATTGCTACCGCTCTGTCTGTATGATAAGGTGATCACTTGGTCTGTCATGTACAATAATTCAATCGTTTATATTATTCCAGGTCCGCCATCAACACCGGCCATCACCATCACCATCACCAGCACCACCGGCTCCGGGACCAGGCCCGCCACCAGTCTCCGTGAGTGTCTGATTTTTATTGAAAGCTGAAAACGTAAAACTTGTTCTTCTCGCTATGTTACGTAGGAGATTTTGTCGGTAATTTCTTCTTCATAATCAGATCAATAGGAAGAATATATGTATAATAAAAAACGCTGTAATAATAAATTTAAATAATAATAATCCGCTGATAACGGATTCCGTCAGGATTTTGTTGACCGTTGGACTGGTTGAGAGGTGAATCAACCGTATTTTATAACAGTTGCATCGGTTTGCGGTCAATTTGTATTTCTTCCCTTATAGATCATCAACCATCACCACCACCAGCACCACCGGCCTCAGCACCAAGCCCGCCACCAGCGTTCGTAAGTGTCTTATTACAAATCAACTATTAGGGTGGATATATTTTATTTTGGTCGTTTGTTCGAGGCACATTTTTAGTTTGTTTTTTCATCACCAAATCTACAACGATAGGCTATACATTGTATTGTTACACATATTCAATCAGGAATGCTATTGAGCGTAAAACAAAGAAGAGAACGCTATATTTTCTTACAATGAATAGCAATTTGAACTCAAATGTGCTGATTCTATTTCAGGTCATCTACCAGCAGCACCAGCAGCACCACCGGCCTCAGCACCAAGCCCGTCACCGGCAGGTAGGTGCGGCTCCAGAAATACTCCCCTTTTTTAACCCTTGCCCGCACATGCCATTTTCCCATCCTAGAACGCACATGGGGGGGTTGCCACCCCCCGCGCCATGTCTGTGTCTGTGTGTATACTGATGTGTGCACCCGGCACCGATTGTTTATGTGTCCATATTACATGAAATCATGATCTGAGAAGCTTTTACCAAAAATACAGTCA